GAGGGAGAGAGGAGGGCTTCTGTGCAGGTACCCGAGGGAGAGAGGAGGGCTTCTGTGCAGGTACCCGAGGGAGAGAGGAGGGCTTCTGTGCAGGTACCCACCACGCGAGGCCAGGCCCTCGCCGGTCACAGAACACCAGCGGCTTTCGGGCTTGGAAGGAACACACACAGCAGAGCCGGAAGGGGCCAACGTCCCTCTTTTCAGAACCTTCTGTTTGCCCCCGCCACCCGCCGACCCTGCCGCACACGCTCTGTGGCTCGCTGGGGCCTGTTTCCCAGTCCCACCCCGCCCATCACTGGGGAACGTCTTCCGAGTGCTTAAACCGTCCTGTCCCTAGAACTCCGGTCACCATTTGCCTTCTCACAAAAACTGTTCCACTGTCCCCCCAAAAACCATTTTAGGGGCAGTTATCCTTTCTTCCCTAATGAAAGGAGTTCTAACCAAGGAGCTCCGGGTGTTGATTCCAATGTGTACTCAGAGGCTGGAGAGAAACGGCAAACGACCAGGAAGAACAAGCAGCAACCATCAGCTCACTGACCAGAATGAGCCCCAAACAGATCAGCAGACGGTTTTCCTTCGGCTCCCCCAAGCTGCCCATCAAAGGCAAGGTCACAAAGATGGGACCCTCAGAGGTGGGCGTGCGGCTGCCCCAAAGAAGCCGTGGTAAGAGAGGCCGGGCATGAGGCAGTGAAGGCAGTAGAGGCCGAGAGCCGGGGACACGGGCAGGCAGGAGCCCCGAGGCATGTGGCTGGGCTGCGGCTCCCACTATTCTAGAGGCTGTGCCGCTGGGACTCAGGCGGCAGAGGATACCGCACACAGGGCTTCCTGAGCAGACGGAGAGGCCCTGTGGGTTACACCCTGAGCACGGGCATCACCCGCACCACCTGCAGAGCCGGGAACAGCAGCCCAGGCAGGAGTAAGGAGGGAGGACGGAGCCGGGACGACACGGGAGGCCCCACATACATCTGGGCGAGGGAAAGCAGACCCAGGCAGGCGGCAGCTGCAGGCAGAGGGAGCAGGGGGGCTGCAGGAGGGGTACGGAGGTGCCCCCGGGACGCAGAGTGACTCCCCTTGACCACCTGGAAAGGCAGCTTCCGACTCGGCCCACAGGAGGTGGATCACAGATGAGGGGATGCCTACCTGGGGGACTTGGGGAATCCCAGCCCTGATGAGGACCCCTCCCTTCTCTTTTGTCCTCAAAATGCAGCAGCCAGACCTGTGTCTCGGGCAGGAAATGGAGAGAAAGGACTCCAACCAGATGACACAGAAAGTTCCAGACGTTGGAGGGAACCAAAGACAGCCGGCAGCCCCGGGCAGCCCCGGAGTTCAGAACTCGGGCATCGGCCTGCGCAGGGTCCCAGGGGCAGGGCCCATCACACGGGCCAGCTCCCTGGTGTCCTGCCCAGGAAAAGCCAGACCCTCCTCCAGCCCCATGGTGGCTCCTGTGTTATTCTCCTCAGCTGCACGCCGTCTTCTCCAGGAAGGAGGTCACGTCCCTGACCCTGTCCTGACCGGCAGACTCGACGTCCATCCAGCAAGAGCAGGGCCTTCATGCTGACAGTCAGGGACCCCTTCCCTCTGCAGACACGGGCCCGTCTACGGGAGGCGCCGGGGGGCCACAGGAGAGTGAGCCCCCAAGGATGAGATGGGCAGAGCACGCCCCAGGGCCACGCATAGTGGGCCACGCCCAGGGCCACCCGTTCCTGTGTCACCTGCTGACGGACTGAGCCCAAGCCGAACGGGGTCTGTGACAGGGAAAACACCCCCGTGGATGCACATCTCATTCCCTGGCCTGTTCCTACACAGACTCGCTAAGTCGGTCCCAAGAACACACCCGGCAGGAATCGAGACAAAGAACACAGACAGGAAGCCAAGGAGGCCAAGAGCTGAACAGACACAGCCTTCCTCAATTCTGCAATCTGCAGCAGGACCACGAACGCAGGTCCAGGAAGGCGGCCGGCCACACTGCACCCCAGGTCTGAAGCACACTGGGGACCCTTCCATGCCTGCTGGGCGGCGGGGAAGGAAACTGCCCAAGTGCAGGGCCTACCTAGAACCACGCGGGGCACCAGACGCAAGCCACCTGGCGTGGGCAGGAGGAGGCCTGTGGAGGCTCTGGCTTCCGGGACAGACTCGTGCTTACACCGGAGAGAGGTCCAACTCGTCCCCCAACACCGTTGGCTCCGGTCTTACTCAACCCCTTTCGGCTCATGCCACGGTGGAGTGGGCCTCTGTGGTCACCACCACACAAAAGCCACATAGAAGGTCCCAGGCTACCGCGGCCACTCACGTGGGAGGGGCTAAAGTCTAAGGGGAACAGAAGCAGCACCTTCTCCAGGAAACACGCTTGCCCACTGGGGCATCGCCACGGATTAGGAAATGAAGAATTTAAGCCCGCAGGGGAGTGCTGGGCTCGGCCAGCTGGCTGTCAGGTCCCGGGTCCCCGTCTGGCTGCACTGAGCTCCCGTCCCCGGCCGCCTCCTCACCAGCAAGTGAGGCGAAGGAGAAGTCCCTCTCCCGAGGGCTAGGAGCACACACAGCGCCCAGCCCGGTCCTGAGCAGACACAGAGGGAGCACGGAGATCTGGGGCTTCAGTTCTGAGCATCAGAAGCTGGGGGCATCGAGACACATGTGGCTTCTTGGTACCGGAGGCGGGGGGGGGGAGGTGGCCCGGAGGACGGCAGAGCATGCGAGGAAGCAGGCAGGAGCTGGCCAGCCACGGCCGGAGCAGCTGGGAGCCCCAGCGTCAGTGCGTCACTCGGCCCGGCCGGAGCAAGAAGGCCGGCGACTTCAAGCACCCCAGAAGCTCTGAGAACACAGGGAAAGAGCACACCTGTCGCTCCCGCCACCCGCAGCCTGTGCTCTGTGCCAGGACGGACCCCCACATGTTCGGGACCCACCCGTCGTTACCGTCAGACACACAGGCCTCGCTGTTCTCCAATCAGCCCACAACACCAAAACCACCCTGTCCCCTAATGGGAGCTTCCAGCCGCCCCCTGCACTAGCAGGGGGGCCCCGAGGCCCAGAGGGGAGGCCACACGGCAAGCTGGGTCAGGGCACTCGGCGAGGGGCCGCTCCACAAATGCATCATCGACCCTAAGCGGCAGCCGCCACATCGGGCACATCAGGAGGGTCCGGACAGCGAGCACACGTTCTCCCACGCTCGGGGGAATGCATGGAGGACAGGCAGCGGGGACAAGCCCCACCACCCAGCCAAAGCAGACAACATGCGCTATGGGGGTGGGGGTGGCTGGGGCTTCCCCTCCCAACTGCCCTGCGCACAAGCTGTGCCCAGCAAGGCCCTCGGCTGCCACACGGGCAGTGCGCTGCGAAAGGCTGCTACCCAAGCCCGACGGGGCCTCAGGACCCAGGGACGTGCTACAGCTGCCCCAGGCCATCGTGCATCCCCAGCAGAGAGGAGCCCACTGGGGCAAGGACCCACACCCCACCCCTGGAGAAAGGGTCCAGGCTGACAGCTGGGGCTATGCCGTCTGCGGACGTGCTGACCCCCGGGCTGGGCCCTGTGGCTGTCAGAGGGGCAGTGGGGTCTCAGGTCAACGGACCCTCTCGCTCTGCAGCTCCCAGACACAACTCAATTCCCGCCTCCGAGTTTACAGAGAAGACGCGGCAGGGATGTGTCAGAACTGGCTTCCCACCGGCACCCGGGCGGGGACTGGGCTCCTCACCTCTACGTCGTCAGGCATCCCAAGAAACCGGGGCCTCCACGCGCAGCACGTGCCCGTCACCCTCCTCACGGAACAGCGGCAGCAGAAGCCCCAAGCTGCGCCCCCGCCGGCAGGAGCCCCGGGACCTGTCCACAGATAGGCGTCCGCCTCCAGCAGGCGCACCCACCTGAGCCGCAGCGCTGTGCTCAGTCACCGGGGCCAGCTGCACGTACTGGACCTGGATGTCACTGCCCTGCAGAGGCGAGCCGTCCACGCCTGCAGCAGCGGGGTCGGAAGAGGCCACGGCGATCAGCTGGGCGCCCTGCAGCACCTGCGGAGACAGAGCAGACGCGGTCAGCACGACAGCACGACAGCACGGCAGCACGACAGCCGCGCCGGGCCGGCGGCGACCGCCACTCCCACGGCCACACAAACCCCGGGAGGCGGCCCAGGGCCCCCCTCCACACCGCGGGGCCACTGAGCGAACGCACACAGCATGACCAAACTGCTCTGCTTTGTTCCCAAGTGACGGCCCCCGAAGAGCCAGGTGCTGGACAGAACGCTGGGTCTTCAAGCGGATCAGAAAAACACCAACCAGCTCAAGTTTTCGAAGAGTAAAGCCGGGGATGTGGCCGAGGGGAGCCTGAGAAGGCTGGCAAGGAGACGGCGGGGTGGTACACGGGGAGACCAAAGCACCGAAGACCTTCCAGAAATCACCGTCATCTGAGGTTCGCGGGAGGCCACCCCCAGAACGCCTGAAAGCCGGGAGACGAAGCCCTCCGAGCGCCGACACACGTGGTTACAGAGCGAAGCAGCAACGGGCACGAATCAGGGACCCGCAGCTCCAGGTGCCACAGGCCACAGCTCGGCATGAGGAGCTGCCATCGGGAAGGCAGCAAGGGGGAGCCCCCAGGGCATGGGAGACACCGAGAGGAGGGAGCAGATGAGGACCCCGGGGACAGGCTCTGGATGACCTCCCGACTCCTGAGCACCCCGACACCCAGGCTCCCTTCACACCCAGCCCTCCTGGTGCTCCAAGAGCTGGGCACATAGGGGGCACCTTGCAGCCCCGTGGGCCAGATGGGGAGTGGGCGTGAGGGCCTCCAAGGCTCTGTATTCATCAGGAGTTGCCACGAACTGTGCGGGTTTATACTGGGGGTTGTGTCCCTCCCCTTTCAAATTCTATGTTCACGGGGCCACCCTCTAGATCCCTGCTAGCAGTGCACAGCAGCGTAACGCTCACGCTTCCTGACCAGCCCAACTGCCACCCACAGCAATGGTCAGAGCCGAGGAAGACGGTGAGGGGACTCAGAGCAGGGGGCTGTCCACTCCGGGAAAGGCGGGCTTAGGTACGGCTCACCAACAGTCTGTACAAAAATGCAGTCTGTGGTTTTCAAACAGCTTTGTGGCGTCTGATGAACGAAAGTTCTATTTCTTTAACAACACACCCATCAGTAGAAAAAACAAATGGTAAATTCAATTATTAAAACAGAAGCTAGAAAGTTCTTAATTACTTTCTCTTTTGCGTCTTCAGAAACCACTCACGTGGTCTCGTGTTCTGATAGCAGCTAGCTGCGCTAGGAAGGCGAAGGCCTGGGACAGGGGCACAAGGTCACCCCAGGCCCTGTGGGTGTGTCCCCAACGGGCACGTTGCAGTTGGAACTAAGGTGAGGCTATCACGACAGGGAATGTCCTTGGGTATGGGGCCCGGCGTCCCACGGCACCTTGAGAAGCAGAGACACAACGTGAGAGGAACCCTCTGGTCCCCTGTGGCTTGGAGGAGGGGAGACGGGCCAGGAGCCACAGGTGGGGCAGGTCTGGAGGCTGGGGAAGCCGGGAGGCGACCCTGCCCTTGAGTGTGCCGGAGGAGCGGCCCGGTGACAGCCTGGCGTCAGCCCTATGACGCCCACGCTGGACGCGGACCTTCACACTTCAGAGCCCGAGTGTGTGGCTGCCCACCGCCGCGGCCACAGGACAGGCACACAGCACGCTGACCCTTCCTGGGCTGCATCCTTCCAAGGAGCCGGCTTCTCGCTCCCCGAGGGCTGACCCAACCACAGCTCCTTTTCCATCATCAGCTCCTTGTATCACTGGGTGCTCGACACAGAGGTTTGGAAAAATTGCCGACACCCCAAGTCTCCTGCATTAGTCCCCGGACCCCCCAGGCCTCTCACGGTCACACGATAACCCCCAGCGCTGCTCACAGGAAAGCCGCCAGCCCCCACGTGTCCCGTGGGATGGCAGCCCTGGGCAGGAGCCACCCCCCCCCCAGTGGGAGAGCCTGCCGTCAACCTGGCGGAATCAAGCAAACGGCGCTCCCACTGGGCGCAGGTTCATGGTGCGAGGGGAGATGTGCCCTGCGGGAACAGCTCAGCCCAGGCAGCAAGGAAAGATCCAGATGGGGAAGCGAGGGAAGGGGGCCTGGAACAGCCCAGCAGTGCCCATGGCTGCGCTCACTTTGCACGCCGTAGCTCGGTCCTGCACTGAGCGTAGAAACCGTGCACCATCTGCGAACACGGGTGCGACGGCATTAGGTAACGTGGTCATGGTTCTGTCACCACCGTGTGCCGCAAAAGGCCCCCAATGCACTGACGGTCACGCCATCAAAACTGTTAATGAAAGCCACACCATTGCGGAACCTTCGCGGAAGCCTCTGCCTTCGTCTGGTGCTGGCGGCGAGCCACGACCACCCGGGACCCGGGCTTGTTAGGGTTTCCCGAGGGTGAGCTGCTTCCTGTCGGTGCCCCCAGAAGGGGACACGGCCCTCGGCCCGCACCGCTGACGGCGTCGAGAACGAGAACGTCCGAAAGTTCGGAATCTAAACGAGCCGGGCGGTGACAACAAAGTCCGCCACTTCTCCGGCCCGGCTGCCAGAAGACAGAAACCGGAAAACGCTTTCCCTGAGATCTCACCCCAAACACCACACCTCCTCAGTGTGTCCACACTTTGGCTTTTGGCAACGGATTCGAGAACAAGTCAGAAAGTCAACGTGGGCGCGGGGCTGGCAGGAAAGGCCTTCCAGGCCTCGGTTAGCGCCCCTGCTCTTCCTCACACCCCCGACCCTGCGGAGAAAACCCTCCCACGGCGGCCTCCACAGGAGGGGCTGGGAGTGTGACCAGGTCAGGGCACCAGTCCTCCAGTGGAGAGTGAGGGCCCCGCAGGGAGACAAGCTTCTCGACGGGAAGAATGGCTTCCCCTACAGTGGACAGAAAGCTCGTCCCGAGCGGAGTCAAGCTGAGGGCAGCGGCAGCCTCGGGAGCCTAGCCAGCTGTCGGGAAGGCTCAGCAGCGGACACACGGGTCTCAGGGCACCTCCCAGGCCCGCCTCACCCTGGGGAAGGCACCGCCACCAACTCCGCAAGTCGGGCCACCATCCCGGCCTGGCCTGACCTGCAGGCTTCAGCCCACGGCTGCCCTCAGTCCCGCAAGGGGCACTTCCCGCCCCGCAGGCGGACCCCGAGCAGCAGAGGCGGCACGCCCGGGCCCCAGCGCCCGCACACAAAGCAGTTGGGACGCTTTTCAGGCCATCCTCCAAATCCGGGGGAAGCTCTCCGAAGGTGACATTCGCATTCCGCTAGATGACAGCGGCGGAGGAAGGGAACACAGGCAGGAGGGGCCAGACGGACGGCTCTGCCATGAGGGGCCTCTTCACGAGGGAGGCGGGATGCTCGTCGGGACGCAGGCCTTACCCATCACAGCACAGCCCGTCTCTCCACCGTCCAGGAAACACAAGGACACCAAGCACCTGGCAGAGGAGGACTCTGGGTCACGCGGCCCAGCCAGTGGAGTCCGTGCTCACCCCATGGGAAGGGACGACCGGCAAAGGAGGTGTTCTAGGAGGCAAGACAGGACAGCAGCCACGCTGTGGATCACGGGTTTCTCCGCAATCCCACGATCACCGGTGCGCACTTGCTAAGGGCCGGTGGTAAGGACCCTGCACCGCTGAGTTTGGGAGAAACTCCGACGTGAGCTGGTGCGCCGAGGCACCCCCGCGGGGCGAGCAGGAAATCCCCCACCGTCAAGCCAGCGGGGCAGCTTCCATTTCACCGTCACCCTCGGACAACGAGAGAACGAACCACAGCCCCAGGGCAGGGCTTGCGGCGGGAGGCGACGGAAGGCCACAGTCACCACCGAGAAAGGACGAGTGGCCGGCGCACGGACGCTGTGAGTGACCAGGGGGGACAGGGAGGCACAAACGCGCGGCTGAGAGGCGCGCACCCAGCAGCTGTGGCCCCACGGGTCAGGGCGGCACCCGGAGGAACCCACAGAAAGAACACGACCAGTCCTCGATCTGCTGGAGGACGCGAGGCCGGCACGTCGCCTGCCCCTGCTCTAGAGGCCGCAGAGACGTCAGTGATGAGCTTCCAGCTCCCTCCCCATCGCCGCAGGTCTGCAGCCTCTTCCCGAGGCTCTGGAACGCAGAAGACCTCACAGGGACGCGGCGGGCTCCAGGCCAGCAGCCAGCAGCACGGCCTCCCGGAGCCGCCGGCCTGCACCGACCTGGGCGTGCGCCGCCCTCCCCCCTCCAGACTCAGAGGCGGCACGAGAGGCACCTGCGGGGTCCCCACCCCTGCTCACAGGGCTTGGCCGCACAGCCGGAAGCCGAGCCGCGCCGGCCGGTCGAGAAGAAAGGGCGGAGGGTGTGCGCGTGAAGCCTACTGAGGGGGTCCTGCACGCGTCTGGTTTTCCCCCACACGCCCCCATCTTGAAACGATCTAATACCCACGTGAGATAACGCAAAACTGGTATAACCCCAAGTAAGCGCGGGCAGTCCAAGGGCTTCTCGGTAGGGTTTGGGTTCAGAACCCCGACTCCAGCCCAGAGTCTCCTCAGCTGAGAACCACACACACGACAGCCGGCCCGGCCCCTCCTGCGGCCGGAGGACCCGCGCTCCACGCAGTTTAGTCACGTGCACGGCCAGGAACAGAGGCGAGACCGTGACCTCCGGCTGTCCCGGGACAGAAGGGCTCTCGCTTGTCGCCCCGTCTGCAACCAGCTCGCTGAGGGAGCGTCCTCAGTGAAGTCCTCCTCAAATCTCGGTGTTAATTCAAGAAGTAGCTTCCTCGTGACCAGAAGAGGAGGACCCGAGAGAGGGAAGGCCGTCCCAGGGACGCCCTAAATCACCCCCGGCCGGAGGCCCCCAGCCCCAAACCCTCCTCCTATAGCGGCACAGCGAACGCCGAACATGGACCATCGTTCCGAAGCCGCGAAACCCCCTGACGGGAACGCTCCTGGGCTCGCTCGGTGCCACTGTGAGCGCCTTCCTGAGCCCAGGCGCCGTGAGAACCCGGTCCCAACCCGGCAGAGAAGGCATCCGGGCAGACGCAGAAGC